CGCTGCCTGGTGGGGGCATGGGGAACAAGTGTTTGATTGCAGACGCCCTCTTCTTCCCTTACCGCGCATTTGCATTCACGACGTCGTTGCAAGGAGCCTCCGATGAAGTGGAGATCAGGCAACTCCTTGGCTTTTTGGGGAAGAATTGGAGGGGTCGTAAGAAACAACACGTATAATTATTAATTGATTATTTCATGTTTTAGGGCGCGTGGAATTCTAAGATCATTTGTCCCGTAAGTGTGCTGCATGCTTTTACCGTGTGGTGGCGATGTTCTTCCCCTGGCTGTCTACATTGACGGTGTTCCTGTGGGAAGCCTTCTGGCCCCGATGAAGTGCAAATCGGGTAGCTCGTTGTCCTTTAGAGAAGAGCATCGACGAATGAATGCTAAGAAACTCAACAAGAATACGTAGTGAATTGATTAATTGATTATTTCGTGTTCACAGGAGAGTCAACTTCCCAGGTCATTCGTTCTCTAAGAGTAGTGAATGTTTTTATCGTAGGATGTGGCGGGATATTTCGCCTCCGGATGTCGGGGCCGCTACCGATCGACAGTTTGCAATGTTTTCTGCAATGTTTTCCACACCAGGTATCGCCCTCTAACGACGCACAACCCCAGCCGGGACAAACTTTGAACTCCCGACACGTTTCCGGACATGCGTGGCAGTTTAGTGCGTGTAAGGGGTGAGGATAGGTCAAGGAATAGGAAGGAAAGATCGCCCCGATACGTCACTTTCATTGACACGGTTCATTGAAGAAATAATGTCGACGTGATAATATTACGAAATACCTTGCGAACAAGAATATCAAATTCGACGCTTCGTAAACGATTCAACCCAAAGACGACTTGTTGGGATCACAGAAGACACTGTTCACGGTCGTGTACACAGCTCCTTCAATAGACTTGGCGGAAGTGGGTATACGAGCGATGGGTAGGCGATAGAAGTGTGGAGAGAAGGAGAGGGAAGAGGGGAGGCTGGGATTGGAAAGGAGGAATGGGAGAAGGGAGAGGAAAGGAGAGGAGAGGCGCGAGTAGAGAGGGGTGATGAGTGGGGAAGGATGGGCGGGCGTGAGGAGAGGAGAGGCGAGCGTGGGAAGAAGAGAGGTGGAAAGAGGAAAAGGGAGGAGGGAGCGTGAGGAGAAGCGAGTGAGGGAAAAAGAGGGGAGGGGAGAGGAGAAAGAGGTGGGGAGGGGAGAGCAAGAGGAACGTGGTGGAGCGGGACGCGTGAGTGGATAGAAGAAACGAGGAAAGGGGCGAGCGAGGAAAGTGGAAAGAAGTGATATGGGAAGAGTGGGGCAGCTGGAAAGGGAGTGGCGGCCCAACGAAGGAAGAGATGGGGAAGGGTGAGGGGAAGGAAGTGGGGATGAAAGGAGAAGCGAGACGAGCGGAGTGGTAAGAATTGTGAGCGAGGGAAGAGAAGTAACGGGCGAGAACAGCAAGGGAGAGGAATGGTCTCGGAGAGGGAAGGAAGGGGTAGGAGAAGGGAAAGGAGGGCAAGAGGAATGAAGGGGCGGGCGAGGCGATGGAAGGAGTGTGGAGATGAGTCCGGTGAGGGGAAAGGAAAGGAAAGGGACTAGCGAGGGGGGAGAAAGGTGAGGAGGGACGAGTAGAAATTGGCATGGAGAGAGGAGAGAAGAAACGAAGAGGGGCAAGAAGAGGAGTGAGAGGAGGGGGCAGAAATGGAGACGAGTGGACAAAAGGTAGCGAGAGAAGTGATGGGAAAGGAAGATTGGCTGGGGGTAGAGGATAGGTGTCTCGCAGTTGAAGAGATGCAAGTGAGGAGAGAGGAGGAACGGGCTAAAGGATGCTAGTGGTTGGGAAGGGAGAGGAGAGCAATGGCGGGCAGTGGCGGGTGAGGGGAGGAGAGTGGAGAGGAGGGGCGGACGTGGCGGGCATAGCGAGGGAAGGAGTTTGATGAGGAGAGGAGCGGGGAGGGCGAGGAAAGGAGAGTCGGGGAAGAGAAGAGAGGTGCTCTGGGGTGAGGTGTGGAGGGGTGGGGAGAGGTCTAGAAGGGTGGAAGGGTGAGGAGAGTTGAGGTGAGGGTGGAGAGAGGTGAGGTGAGGTGACGTGGGGTGACGTGAGTGGGGCGAGAGGCAAGAGGTGAGGCGAGGGGCGAAGGCGAGAGGCGAGGGGCGAGGACGCCGAGGGCCGAGGGCGCAGGCCCGCAGCTGGCGGCGCAGCGGCGCGAGCGGGTGCGGAGGCGCGAGGCGCGAGGGGCGCGAGGGCCGAGGGCGCCGAGGGCGCGAGGCGGCGCAGCGTGCGCCGAGGCGCCGAGGGGCCGAGTCGGCGCGGAGGGCGCCGAGGCTAAGCCGCCCGCCGCGGAGCGCCGCCCGGTCTCGGGCTGCGCTGGGCGGCGTCCAACCGGGGCGCGGCCCTGCCGCTGCTTTACGGCCTGTTGGCGCCGGGCGGGCGCCGCTAAGCGCCTGCGACGAGGCCATCACTCCAGCGACACCAGCACCGGTTAAGCGCCCTTCGCAGGAAACTCAAATCCATCCCGCAGGCTGCGTTACACTTCGCAGGCGTTGATGCTTCCGCCCACGTAAACTGCTATGCTCGTACGACCCGTTAAAACGCTGTATGGTTTATTCCCAGAATTGGGGGGTGCCTTTTCAGCTAGATGATAAGATCGGGCTGCGATGATGGATTAGTCCTGTAAGTGTAGTGCTTGTTTCTGTTCGGGAGGGGCGGTAGTTTTTCCCCACTGGATGGCGAGATCCTGCACGATAGGCTAGCGGGATTTTCCTCAACCAGGTATCTCCCATCAGCGCGGCACCGCCCTGCCGGGCAAGCTCTAAGCTCTCGACCGAACTCTCACGTATGTGGTAGTATAGTGCATGTGCAAGTGTGTGTGTGTGTGTGTAAGGAAGGAATGGGTATAGGGGAAGGAATAGGAAGGAATGATCGCGCGGTCCGTAGCCCGTTTTTAGGGTACTACTCCGGCATTCGCCTGGCGTTTGTCCAAGAAACCACAGAAAACTACCAATGAGAGGTCCACATCGGTTTGCGGGGAGATTTCCCCTCTCGAGGTATCTCTCTTACTGGGGAGAATCACCTCCATAGTAGGGACACTCTGTAAGCTCCTGACTGCTCTCCCTCAATTAGATGTAGAGTAGTGCATTGCAGAGAAATTGTATGTGTGTGTGTATGTGTAAGTGGAGAGGAAGGGACAAGGACGAAGGGAGACGATGGCAGGGCAGTCTGCCTTCAGAAGTTCCTCCACACAGCGACTTTATGTGACCTAATAGCTATCAAGCTTGTGTAGAAAATCTGCCATCGTCGAAAGTAGAAATCTATAACATTTTCTCTCAAGAAGCTGCAGTGCAAACGGTAATGTGCTAACCCAGCCGATAACCCCTTTGATTCTGGAGACGAATGACACTTAACATTAATCGTGTGTTATGACAAGAAAAATATTTTCCTTGATATTAAATGTATTAAAATTGATGTGCATGCATTATTTGGTGTGAGTGTGAATCTATTCCATAAAAAAGTTTGTACCACTTGAGGTTAGAGGTGGCACAAACTTTGGAGAACCCGGGAAAGTTGTTGGGAGGGGTTTGCGAAAGTATTACATCAAAATTTGGATACACGCAAAAACCTTACTTGAAATGATTTGACTCCAATGCACCTCCGGCTGCAATTGTGCCGGGCGTGGTGGGGAATGTGGGCAGTTAGGCCTGATTTTTTAAGAAATTATATATTTTATTTTTTTACGCTATTGCTTCCGATGCGGAGCTAAATACTCACTGCGTAACTTACCTGGATTCAAAGGATCGGTGTTACGAAATATGAAAACAGTTGAATGATGCTACAACTTGTTCTTTTACAGAGGGAATTATGACAGGGAATTATGGAATTGAATTTTGGCAGATAAATACTAAAAGACAAACCAAGTAAACAGTAAATCTGAATCAATAAAGTTAGGTAAAAATAAAATTATCTATGTACCCCGGGCGTTAATTGGTTTTAAGGTTCTCGGGCGGCAAAAAGCTCTTGGGCCAAACGCCTTCGAGTATTTTTCGCCCCTCGATCATTACAACCCTTATAACACCCTTGCTGCATTAATAACTATTTTGTCTATGTTCAGAAATCAAAATTGTAATTTTGACGAACCAGGACACTCCTAAAACAATAACCAATGTTTTAACATATTGTTTACACATTTTGTACTCTATTACAGTTTTTACGTATTTTACTTATATTTCGTATTTTAGAAAAAATATTATTGTACCAATTTATTGAAAATGAGTTTTCAAAAAACCTTTAATAAACTTTCAAAAATAATTTTTATTTTAAAAAAAACATATTTTTCTCAAACATATTTAGAATTGCATGCTGAAGACGCAAGCCACACATGAAAACGCGGTCACATGTCTACACTGCATAAAAGTTGCACAAAGTGCGCATGAGCACTGGGAATATTATCTTAAGTTGTAGAAAGCATCAGCGAGGTCGTTATTCTTCTTGATCTTTAATCCTCATGTCATAGATATATGTGAGAGATATTGGTTCTCGGAGACGTGAAAATGCTACAATGATTGTCGATTATTGAGTTCCAACTTTGTGCGATAACTGTTGTTGCTCTCAAAAATAGACGGGTTGCGTTAAGCGCCGTTTCGTAGAGCGCCCTGTTCGGGGTGCCTGTGACGGCATACAATCATCATCAACACACGTTTATATACGCAGGCATGTGCACTCATCGTACTATGCCTATATTCTTCCCAGAAGTGCAAGCAATAGGTTGACATAGTTTTATCGCGGTCAGATGAATGGTACGTCAGGGCGTTAAGTACTAGTATGAACCAACTAACAAACAAACATTGTCTTTTATATATAAGGTTTATGTACATATTTTCCCATCTCACTCCCTACTACATATTTTTCCGGATTCTAATCATTACTGTACGTGTACTGTGGTAGGTAAATATTCGCGTGTCTCACCGGACCACGAGACGGAAGCTTGTCATTGAGAGAGTGATGTGGTCGATGTGTGTGTTGCAGGCTCCCCAGCGGACAAGGCGGATCTGGAGGTGGGCGATGAGATCTTGGAGGTGAACGGAAAGTGCCTGGAAGACGCAACGCACACGGAAGTCATTTCGCACATTCACCAAGTAAGTCGTTTCTACTCATTCAGTTCATTTTCAGCATTCATGCGCATGGCGTGTCATCCTGAGTTGGGCAAATCAGAGATAAGATGGATTTGGTATATATACAGTTTGTTTACGTATATGAATATGCATATATGTGTATATGTTTGTGTGTATATGTGTGTATATGTGTGTATATGTATGTATATGTGTGTATATGTGTGTATATGTGTGTATATGTATGTATATGTGTGTATATGTGTGTATATATGTACGTATATATGTCTATATGTGTCTATATGTGTGTATGTATATACCCCGATGGATCTGGCTGAAATAAGATGGATCTGGATCCCTTGAAATTGGAAGCGATATTTTAATTTTGAGAGGTACTTTACATGAAACTCCAGAGGCATTTTCAAGATTGTCAACAACAAAAATGGCTTCCATCATTTATTTTACCACATGACTAACATGTACTACGTTGTATCGTTTATTGATTAATTTAGTATAGAAAACATTAATATCCTTTTTCAGATCGCTGGCACTCGTACATGACAGGTATGCATGATAACGTCTCTGTCTAGCAACTAAAATAAAAAAGGAGACGCTCAGGCCGTCTTCGTCTGCATTTTGTGAACGAATCTTTTCATTTGAGTCGCAAATGAATAGAAGAAGGAAATGGAGCAGGTGTTAGTCTAAATTAAATATTTATAAAAAGAAATGTGTTAATGTGGTTGGGTGTGTGTTTTTTTGTTGAGTGTTCTCCCTTTTACCTGAACATTGTTGGCGACCCTGGCGAGAATGAGCTGTACTAATGGTTCCGACCTGTGGCAGGGACCTGCGTATAGATTTCACAGGCAATAATGAGAGAACGCCCGCCCTTACAGACTGCGAAACCAAGCCAGCGAGAACGTTCGATATTTGCATCGGTTTTCCCCAGTTCTAGTCTTGGGGAGTCCTTCGCAACGCTCGTCCTGAATTCTCCTCTTCAGTTTTTTTCTACCCCGTTCGTCTCTTCCTTCTCCGCGCTTCCCTTGTGTTCAATTCGTCTATTCTTTTTAAAATTATTCTCGCCCTCCTTCCATTATTTCTTTTTCTTCTATTCTTTTCGTTTATGTATTTCTGGATGGTTAGAGATTCTTCAATAGTTGATGTCTTTGAAGACCATGACAGATGATTTAATGATAGGTTAACAACGGTAATAATGATGACACAGAAAAAGTGGATGGAGAGGGTAAAGAAACGGGAGAGCACCCAGAAAAACTACTGAGAGCTAATTTAGTTCAGTGTAATTTTCACGTGGATACGCCGGGTATCGAAGCTAGCACCCGTCCATAAAGTCATATGCGCCGAGGCGGTACACGGTATATTTAGCCACCTTGGCCAACCAGGTCACCTACATATATTCATGAAGTGAAAATAGGTACCGATGTCTAGTAACATGTTTTAAATAGTTAATTCATATGTAGATTCTAGGCGATGATACAACCAATGTTGTAATATCGGAGAATTGAAAACGTTGGAAAAAGTCCAGTATTGATATTACATTATTCGTATAGATTGCATTTTAAAATAGTAGTAGCCCCTTTCCAATAATAAAAAGAGGACATTTCGTCCTTTCTTATAAAATCCACCCGGACAGTTTTTCTTACTTCATAAAGAGGACATATCCGTTGAAAAGAGGACATATGGTAACCCTCCTTCACATTTGCAATGTGACGAATGGCAAACGAGGGAATATAGATATACTTTTATGTTCTAAGGATAAAAGTTGTATTCTTAGTTCCAATAAAAGACCATTCTTTGAAATTGAAGCCATAAAATGTATTCATAATTAATGTAAAACATCTTGGTTAAAAATAACTATTCTCCAATAGACGTTTGTCAGAATTCCTGAAGGCTTCTTCTAGCTGGAAAGTCATGTAACGGAGTTGTTTCTCTGCTCGGCACGCACACAACCTCAGACGACGGACTCAGCATCGCTATCGACATCAACAAGCGCTGCTCCACCGGAAGTTATCGCTTGCATATACGCTATCGAGAGTCGTTGCCCCCATAAACGCCACGCCGCTGTTCACCATCATATTCTGCCCTTTACGACCGACACTGAAACCTGTATTAATTTCACTTTTGTAATTAGTTTGTTTAATCGAAGAAGATTAATTGATTCCCATAACCTACGATTGTTTATAGCGGTTGTTATGTCTACCTAATCTACCACGCAAATAGCAACGATACAAGCTAGCGTTGATGTGTTCGACGGTTTACTACTCTGCACATCACGTTCCCTCTCGATATGAATAGATAGTGGAAGTATTGTTCACGAAGGAGGACATTAACACGAATTTTCATGTGTGAAAAGAATTTCTGAAAAGATAAATTTGGCGACTGTTGTAGACGTACTCATATTTCGGTTGAAATGTGTCACCACAATCTCACACTACCGAGCAGCCTTTAGTCTTACATGTGCACTCTCTCACTCACACATCTCGACAATTCTCAGGCAAATGAGCGGACCTTACACTTGGAAGATTTCGTGCTCATCAACTTTTAACGGATACTTGTACAAACGCCTAGCACGAGGCAAAGTGCTACACTGAGATAACTTCAAGTGCGAACGAGAACACAAATGGAAAATCAGAGGGACTTAATGTGTTAAGAAAAGGTAACAGGGAAGAGAACAACATTGAGAACGAGAATAGAAGAGAACGGAGAATAAATATAAGAATGGGAAAAAAGAGAGGGAAAAGTAGTGAGAACGCATGGCCTACCAATAATTTCCACCCTCTTAGTGTCACTAGTTGCTACACAACAACTACTCCTATTTTTAAAACTGATCATGACGTAATTTAAAGATTTAAAATGGAGGGATAAATTGTATTGAGATAGAAAGATTTGACTCTAATATTGGAGGTGCGTGAGAGGTGTGAATATAAATTAGAAGTTTGCAATTTTCCAAATGTCATGAAAATAGAAACCAATCCATTTTTACACTCTTTTTTCTATTCCAAAATACCAAAAAAATTGCAGTCATTTTATAGCAAATTTTGACGTCATCAAAGGAGCAACATGTAGAGAATTTATTAAAAATATAATATATTAATGACGTCATAACTGTCTCACTCCTGATGTATTTACCAAGTTCCTGCTGAAAAGCATCTAATATGATATTTATGCGTGACACATTAATTTATCCATCCATCTAGGCATTCATCCATACACACAAAACGGTTTTCTGGTACAAAATTGTGCCCATCTGCACCAATATTTGCCGTCTCTGGAATAGACCTTAATCCTGATGCGTGTGCAGAAGTACAGCTCAAAGCCACTTTAAACACAGATTTTACGATCGACAATTATAGATTGCATTGTTGAGGTGATTTCAATACTTTGTCCTTATATCATAGTATAAAGAAGAAAAATGTGAAAGATGAGGAGATGGAGGAGAAGCAATTTGAGAGGAGAAGAAACTGGAGGGGAAGAAGGAATAAGAGGAGGAATAATAGGAAGAGAAAAGGAAGGACAAGAAAAAAGGAAGAGTCGATGGTGAAAAAGTATGAGGTGAATAAGGAAGAGGAAGAGAATGAGAGCGAAGAGAAGAAGAAGATAAGGACGCGGAGAAGGAGGAGGACGAAAAGGATGTGAATAGGGAGAAGAAGCAGGCGAAGGGAAGGGAGAAGGAATGGGAGAAGGAGGAGGAAAAGAAGAAGGAGAAGGAGAATAAGAAGAAGGAGAAGGAGAATAAGAAGAAGGAGAAGGAGAATAAGAAGGAGAAGGAGAATAAGAAGAAGGAGAAGGAGAATAAGAAGAAGGAGAATAAGAAAAAGGAGAAGAAAGAGAAAGAGGCGTAGGATGAGAAAGATGGGAAGTGGAAGAAGTGGGGGAGGAGGAGGAGGAACGGAAGAATAGGAGATTGGAGCCATATAGGCTGATTAAATGTGTTTTGAAGAAATCTGAAAGCAGGCGCGTATAAAATGTATTAAAAACTACGATTTCATTTTAAACTCAATTTTTTCCACCAGTGGACAATATGCATTTTGATTAGGTGATCCCTCACAAATACTCTCTCACTTTTTTTCACATTTCGTCGTCGCACAAGAACTGTGACTCATCTAAAAAACTCGTTTGAAGAGGAACGATTTTAATCTGAGCGAAGCTGTTTATTTGTGGCCAGGTATAAATCGTTTTACTACTTCGGCTGTCTTCTGATCTCTTGATATTTTGTTTTTTAAATTTTGTATTAGAAAAAATAACTATTTGCTAAACGCATTTTTTAATTTATTTCAAAAATTCTGAGGGACGTTCCTTCTATACCAACAATTTGATCATCGTTGAGAAATCCTCAGGATCCCAATATACTTTTCAGATAATATTTCTTTTTTCACAATATTCAGCAACTATTCTTCTTCTTCTTCTGATGTTGTGCTGCTAGAATGACCTATAGTTGCGAGTTTTTAATCCAACAACCACTAACTACTTTTCCTAATTCTGTTTAAAATGTTCTCTAGTAGTTGTTTTTTTTCATTTACTTTGAGTTTTACATAAATTTCTTATTTTGTTTAATAAAAAAATATTACTGTAATTCGAATTAGCCAAACATTTGAGTAATTTCTTTAGCAATTAATGATGAATTTTTGGTGGTATTTAAATAAACACCCAGAAATTGACAGAACTTCACTGATTCTTGGAATTTGCATTATCGCGCGATCAATGACAGTAAAAGTATTTAATTGTAGGTTGGTTTCGTGAAATACAATCTCTTAAATCCAAAACTAATATAATGTATTTTATTAGGCTCCTAAATGATACGAAATAGAAATGTGATACATTTGTAAAAAATAAACGCCATAGAATTATTATTAACATTATCGAAATAGAAGTCGGAGGGAGATTTCTGTGACTTCAATCTTATCGCTACTTATCTCCATGGGATGTAAGTACGAAGTGCGCTTTATCCTTAAAAAATCTTTATCATAAAATATCTAATTCTGTAATGTTGTTTGGATTCAGACTTTAGAATT